GGAGACAGGGTGCCGGTGCTGGCGCTGGTGCTGTGAGCTGGCTGTGCGCGTGGTGGAGCTGTGCACGTGGTGGCTGGGTGCTGGCTGCACACGTAGTGGAGAGGGTGCCGAGTGCTGGGTACCGGTGCTGGGTGCTGGGCTGCATGAACTTATGCACGCAACATCATACGGTGTTGTCGCTTGAGCGTTCTTTGTCTATTAGCGCTGTGGGGTATTTACACTCTTCAGGTTCTGTTTTGGCGGACAGCTGTGTCAAGGGCTGCACTGCTTGCGCGCATACTTTTGCACGTATACCGTATAATGTTCTAGGCGCAACGTCAGGCTCTCAGCCGACCATTGTTTCAGCATGCTACACACACAATAGTCGTGCTGGATACTGCTTGGCCTTGGGCGAGTGAAGCCTACAGGCTTTGCCGTTTGTGCGTGTACTTTTGCGCGCATAAACTTATACGCGCGAGATCATACGTTGTTTTTCCCCAAATAGGGATAGCTATGGTTTTTACTGCAAACAAGACTGAGCTGGCTGCGCGCGCTTTCAAAAGGGTGTCGGTGCTGGTCCTGGGCGCTGGTGCTGTGAGGCTGAGCGCGCGTTTAAGACGGGCGGCGGCGCTGGTCGGGCGCTGGCGTCGCTGCCGGTGTTGTCAGCTGGCAAAGCGCACCGGTGCTGGTGTCAGCTAGTTGTGTGCGCTGTGGAGGTGCCGTAAGCTGGCTGCGCAGGCTGCGCATTCTTGTTCCAGCCAGTCGCATCTCAACGGGTCGTGGGATTCTGCCTAGCTATCTGGGTCTATGCTGGTGTAATTTATGCCCGTGCCTGCATTGCGATTCAAAGCGATAAATCCATTGCTCGACGAATAGATCTGGGTGATGCCTGTGAAGTCCTGGTCGGTACAGCCGCCATTTCTGCCCCAGCAAAAGCCGGTGCCAGAATTGCTGTTCCAGGCCACAAAGTCTGTTGCTGAGCTGTAGACATGAGTGATGCCAGTAAAGTCAAGGCCGGAGCAGTTCTCTCCGTAATAGTTGGTACTCTCATCTCGTCCCCAACAAACGCCGCTCCCATCGGCCGTGTTCAAGGCCAGAAAAGCAAGCTCCGTGGCATAGACTTCTGTTGCAAAGTCAATGTTTGGACAATCTGCTCCACAAGACTTGTCTCCCCAGCACACACCTGTACCACCTTTCAAGGCGACGTAGGCACAGGTGTTTGAGATCACCCGCGTGGCACCTCTCAGCTCAACCTCTGAACACTCTCCGGCTGCACCATCATACTTCTGACCACCCCAGCAAACACCAAGTGGAGCCTTCGTCGTCGTCGTGGTACCTGTCGTCGTCGTCGTCGTCGACGTCGTCGTGGCGCTCGTCGTGGTGGTCGGCGCCGTGGTCTCTTGCGCAGAACCTGTGACCGTGGTCTCTGCCATGGTCGGGGTGGGGGCGGCAGTCGTCAAGTTGGCGGCAGTTGTTGAGCCAGGATCCTCATCGATAATCTCACATCCTCGTAGAGTCAACGAACATGACCACAAGGCCAGGCATGAACATAGCCATGAGAGAACGCAAGACACTTTCATCTTGCCCATTCCCGTGGCGCGAGGGTGTCTACCATGCAAAGCAAAATGGCTCCATCATCGATGATGCTTCAAGATTGGACTCAGTATCATGGCTGATGGCTGCAAAAACTGTGCGAAACTGAACGATTATGCCTGGATCATGGGTCAATGGTCAGTATTCATGGCTGCTTTCACTCAGGATGAAACCGCAGAAACTGTTTAAAATCCCCAAATCCGCCGTCAAAGCCAAGCCCCGCGCCGTCAGAGCCCGGTGGGGGCCAGGCCAAGGACCTTGGACGACGTTAACTTCAACGACCGCAGGGCTCGCGCCGTACCTGGCACGCGCCGTACCGCGCCGTTGACGGCGGTCCCGCGCGTTGGTGGGCTCCAAACAACAGCGTGTGGATTCCTTCTGATTCTTCAGTTGTGAGTGGTCCAGAATTGGGGACCACTCTTTTTCTTAGTCAAGAAGACATCGCAGTGGTTGCAATCGAAACAATTAGCCTCAAAAGTACATGAGAAGCAAAGCCTGATTCTGAAGTTTGAACAAGATCTTCCTACCTTGCACTCAGCTTCATCCACTTACACGGTACACTCCCTCCAATCAGTGTGACGACCTCACATGTAAGATAATTAATGTAGACTCTTGATTCATACACCCAAGTGGGGTGGAAGAGGTTTTTCAATTCAAGTGGGGTGGGCTTATTTATCAAGAGTCTACTTTATATTCTTTACAAGTAGCTGCGTGGCTCAGACTTTACAGCTAGTGCAGTGTAGACGGCGAAGGTGAGCCTGTGTGTTTCCATGGATCCGTTTCTCACTGCGGTGCTCTCCCCCGATGATGAGGGGCAGGTTGGGTCTTTCGTTGTGGCCAGACGGTCTGATGGGGTTCTGCTGAACCCCTACACCAATCAGGTGTTCAGAGTGACACATCAGCATGAGGGTCTGCTGGTCTCGCTCCACCTGTATCGGATTGAGAAAGTTTCAAGGGCAGGAGTTGTTTCAGTTTCTGCTACCCCCAATTCGTGGACCGTGCCGCACCGTAAGCCTGACCTTTCGAGCACTCGGCGCTTCATTGAGATCTTCTCTGGCCTAGGAGGCACTACATTTGGTTTCGCTGCAGCCGGCTTTGAACCTTTGCTTGCTGTGGATCACAAATCCATTGCGATTGAGAGTCTTGGCAGAAATCAGCGTGTCCAGCCGCTGCTTGCTGATGTATGTGAACGTCATGACTGGTTGCGAATTCATCTTGCTGCTGGTGAAGTCTCCGCTGGATTGCTGGCTGGCTTTCCTTGTCAGCCTTTTGGCAACTTGGGTGCAAGATTGCGGTTTGATGATCCTCGATCAAAGTGCTTTTTTTCGTTTGCTAGATCTTTCGCTGATTTTGCAATCCCAATGGCTAGTTTTGGAGTGTGTCAAAGGGGCAGGAGCTCATCCCCTTGTCATTGAGACTCTAAACAAATATTGCCAGCTCCGTGATTTTCAGTGGAAAGATGTGACGTTGCATCTGAATCGAGTGTGGCCAGCTCGACGGGAGAGGTGGTGGGCTATTCTTTTGCCCTCCTCTTTCTCTATGCCTGAGCTTTCTGATTTAGACATTCATCAACCGCCTTACTCCCTCCGTGACCTCTTCAAGTTCTTTCCTGCATGGACCTTGCAAGAAGAGCTGGATTTGAAGCTGCGGCCCATCGAAAGACAGGTTTTTGCTGATGAATCCTTTGGCAACACCAACCGGCACCTGGATCTGAATGGACTATGCCCTACTTTGCTCCACTCCATGGGCCATCAAATCTTTCACTGCAGTTGTGGATGCAGGGGACCGCTTTCCTACGAGCTTCTGCAAACTCAAGGACTTCATGGAGTGCTGATGCAGTCGCAATGGGAGAATGTAGATGATCGCCATCTTCACCCGCTTGAGGCTGCTTTGCTGCTTGGCCTACCGGGAACTTGGCAGTATGCTCATCCGGCGCGCACTGATTTACCTCTTCTGGGGCAAATTGCATCCCCAATTCAGGCTTTTTGGGTTGCTCAGCACCTTCTCCAAGCGTGGGATGTTCAGACATGCTCGAAGAGTGAGGCTTTGAGTGCATTTCTTGGGCATGTGCTCCGCTCACACCACCAGAGATGGCCTGTGAGGTCAATGCATTGCACTCGCACCTTCCATGTTGAGAGAGAGGATGAGCCAGATGTGGCCTTTGTGACACGTCAACCTCTATGTGTTCACGAAGTTCAACTTGCTGAAGCGCGCTTGCTTGGCACTGAGCCTCCGTTGCTTTTTGCTGGTGAGCATATTCTTGATCCTCATGACCTTCTCAGCGATTCGAGATTGCAGGCAAGGGTTGCTTTTGGACCTGCTCAGCCAGGTGGTTGTCCCATTCTCTGGGTCTCCAAAGGGCTTGATGATCTTACTATGACTGTTCAGGGACAGGCTATCTTTGACCGCCATGCTGCACCTGATCACATATTTTGGGGTCCTCGCCATGTGACCTGCTTGATTGACTCCTATGTGGCTGGTGCCCTGGCAGAAATTCGTTCTCGATCGCAGACTTTGAATGCCAAGCACTTTGGGATCCTTTGGACCAACTATCATTGGCAGCTCTTTTCTTTGCAGCGTTCTGGCACTGGCCTTTGTGCTACTTGCTATGACGGATGTCCCTCGGCCAACACCTTTGACCTTGAGATCCTCTGCAATCGCTTCATGCTTGCTTGGGGTTGTGACTCGTATCAGTTGAAGGTTGAGTGTTGCATCTCGCAGACGTATGGTACTCATTGTGGTGCAATTGCGCTGGGGCATCTTCTTCTCGCGCTTGGTCATGACACGACCTGTGATGAAGAGCGTTATGTGGCTTGGCATAAGCTTCTCCTCTGTGGACAGAATCGAAGAGCTTGTGGACCGCATGATGCTGCCATGGTTGAATCGCTTTGCCAAATCCTTGCACAGAAAGGAGTCCCTGACAGTTCTGTTCGTGATCGTGCAACTTTGGCCATCAAGAAGCTTGGCGGTCCCGCCATTCAGAAGGCTCTGCTTGCGTCAGATCCATGGCGTGCCCTCAAGCAGATACAGCCCCTACAAGGCAGACCTTTTCAGTTTGTCCTCCATAATGAGTTGCAGGCACACGTTGCTGCTCGAGCATCTACCAAGCATGGTGCCTCTACAGGCAAAAAGGGACAGCTGCCTGGTCGCAAAGCGCTGCCTGAACTCCACCTTTGCCCAGAGCATTTAGAGCTTCTTCCAGATCTCTTTGTTGACAAAGATGGGGAATCTGTGGCAACCATTGGTGTCAAAGAGGTCGTCAGTGATGCACGAGGAATTGCCCTAGTCACTCCCGAAATGGCGAAGCAGCTGGATGACAATGATCAGAACCTTTCCATTGATGCCCTGGCTGTCCTGGTCGTTGGTGATCACTCCAATGCCTTTCAGCACCATGCAGCCAGTGTCATTCAGTACCCGGTCATTTATCGACCTACAAAGGAGCCAGCATTGCTTACAGGAACACTTCTTCAACTTGGAGATGTTGAAATCAAGATACTGAAAACAGCTGATGCCCCCGTTGCGCATGCTGTGGACACTGCAGTTGTTCGTGTGCAAGTCTTTAGAGATGCATATCCGCTAGAAGAGTGGCCTACCTTCGTGGCTGGCCCGGTCAAGGCTCTTGTGGGTGCGGTGGAGTCTCTCCAGTTCTGCCCTGGTAAAGACTGTGGCAAACAATGTGCCAAATTCCATCCTTCTGTGGAAGAAGAGCTTCGTACTGCGCTCCTTGATGTATGGCAATGGCAATGGCTCACCTCAGATGCAAAGCCATGCAAGATGGCTCAGGCTGACATCTTTTCGGTCTATCTACGTGTTCCAGCTTCAGGTCTTATGGATCTTCTTTCGCATAGTGGCTGGAATGGAGTCTTCATTGAACCCCGTCCGCTGCCAACAGCTCCTTCTTCTCAGCGTTTTGCTGTGGTGTGGCTTCCTAGAACTGCTAGTGTTGATGATGCCTTCAAATGGAAGCGCCAACTCGATCAGGTCGTTGGCCTGGCACGTATGCGACAGAAGCTTGGTGTGAGAGTTCGAGCCAAAGATGAAGAAGCTACCATCAAGGTCATCTTTCCTGACCCTTGTGTGAGGCCGTGTGTTGTCAAGCACACGTATGAAGCAGGTCCTTTGCCTTTTGGTCTTCATCGTGACAAGATTGCGGACCTTCTCAAGGCTTGGAATTGGAAAGCTCGCCCTCTGCGACCATTGCGCTCAACTTCTCTGGGGCAGTTTTGGGAGATTGGTGCTGAAGAGCCCCCCAAGTCCGGTATCATGCCAACTGATCAAGGCATGATCACTGTCTCACATCGTCGTGAAGCACAGAGTTCAGTAAAAGCCAAGCCCTATGTGCAGGCAGCCACCAAGACTTTGCAGAAGATGCACTCTACTGCTCCTTCTTCATCTTCTTCTTCGACCACTGAGCCGCGTGACTCTTGGACCACTGGGGATGATCCGTGGAAGGCTGCAGCATGGAGTCGCTATCAGCCCATCACGGTTGCCAAGGATCAGGTTGTCTTCACTGAGAATCGTGGCAAGGCCTCCCAGGAAGCTCGCACCAAATTGTCTACCTTGACATCCAAGGTCTCTGAGCTTGAGCAAAAGCTTGAGAATAGTGGTGAAGGGGATGCTACCATGTCGAATGAAGTTGCAGAGGGCATCACTTCTGAGATTGCTGAGATGCGTGCACAGCATCGTAAATATGATCAATGGTTCAATCAAGCCAGTGACCGCATTGGTGCCTTGGAGACACATCTTCATCAACAGGGCTCGCAAATTGCTGAACTTGGTGATGCCATGAAGACGCAGGTGCAGGCCTCTACTTCGTTGCAAACTCAGATGCAGACCTTGCATAGTTCTGTCAAGAATGACCTCCAGGCCGCTATGGATGCACAAACTGCTCGCCTGGAATCCTTGTTTGCCGAAAAGAGGCAGAAAACTGGTCAGGCTTCTTGACTATCTCGGTCGGGAGGTTTTGCTCAGCGACATACCTCTCCTAGACCTTTCACATTTCGCTGGTTCTTTGTGGTTTTGAGCCTTCTCTATGGTGTTGGTGATTGTCGCCGTGTGGGTGAGGCGCGGCATCCTGGCCCGGACAGTGAGGAGGCCTTTGAATTCCTTATTGGCACTGCTAATGTGGCAGGACTTTTGCATCGAGCTGACCTCGTGGTTCAGCAGCCAGCAGGACTTTGGGCTTACACAGAAACTCAACTGTCTCTTGCTGGTCAAAGGCAATTTCGTTCAGCGCTCCGGTATGAATCTCAGCATGCTCATCGTGATGCATTCTTTGTTCCTGGAGCTCCTGTTCCAACTCGTTCGGCTACTTCAGATGCGGGCACTTGGTCTGGAGTTGCTGTTGTCTCTTCTGCACCAACCAAGGAAATTCGTATTGCTTGGCCTGGTGCTGAATATGTTTCTGGTCGGGCGGTTATCACTTCTACCTGGCTGCAATCCTTGCCTATTGTGGGTGGCACTGTGTATGGCCTTGCGCAATCGCCCACGCATCGGCGCCCAATTCGTTCTACATCAGCCATCCTAGATCAGGTTGCGGAGCACATTGTGGAGAGATTGGTTGTGGTGACTGGAATGCTGATCTCAGTGATTTTGCCGTCACTGACTATCTCCTAGCCCATGGATGGAAGGAGCTTCAAGTACATGCGTGGGAGACCCAGTGTCAGCCTATTCGGCCTACATGCAAGTCTGTCACGGTGCGTGACTTTCTGTGGCTCTCACCGGAGCTATGGCAAATGCTGAAGTCAGTCCATTTTGAGGATCGTTATTATCCTGATCATGCTTGCCTTGGTGGTCTGTTCACTATCCCTCGAGCACCTTCGCCTACCAAAGTTTGGCGCTTTCCTGTGCCTCTTCCTTGGTCACATGTTCGTGTCTCTGATTGGCAGGAGACTGTGCAAGCTCATCATCAACCTTTCACCTGGAAGGCTGACACTACTGCCTCATTCCGATCCTGGTCTGCTGGTGTGGAAAACAGTCTACGGCAGCCTGTGCTCCATGGTCTTGCGCGTATCCCTGCACGTTGCAAAGGAAGAGCTCAACAACTTTGTCCAGAAATGCGTCCAACGCGCCATTCAGTGGTGAAGCGAGCGCGTCCTGGGGAGGAGGAGGTTCTTACAGATTTGATGCCTGTGGTAGTTCGTCAGTGGTATCGACAGCTGCGGAGGCTTCAGGCTCTTCTCCACACCCTTCGCAATGGATATTGTACCCCTGGTTCTTGGACCACTCAAGCTCAAACTTGGCGAGCTATCCGAGGTGCTCCTGGCTTCAAGCCCAACTTTGTTGCCTGGTGGCCCACACGTGCCATACATCTTCCTCATGGGCTCTCTGACATTCCACAAGACGTTCCCACTCTCCAACAGATGGAGCTTCTTTGGCATGAGTATCGACTCAATTATCGCAACTTTGAGGATTGGCATCATCGACAAAGACTTAAGCTGCTGCAGTTGCGCAATGCTTCTTTGCAAACCTCGCATTTCCGGCAGTTGAGGCCACCAGCTGCTGATCCTTTGGTGACACTTACTACCATGCAAACAAGTGTGATCGTCGATGTCTGTGTCTCCACTGGATATGTCGCTCTGCCTGTATTTCCTTGGGACAAATTTGCCACTTTTCGCTCCTCAGGTTTCGCGTTGAAGCCTTTGGATCATTTTGAGGAACAGCACAATGGCAAGATGGTGCTCTGGGTTCTTTTTGATACAGATCTGTTGCTGGTGCCAGGCATGCTCATAGACGTCTCGGTGACCACTGCCTCATTGCCAGACATTCATGCGTCTTTGATTGATCTATGGAAGTCTCGCTGGCAGCGACTTGCGGATGTCCCTGATCCAACTTGGTCCCGGGTCATTGGTTTTGCCCATTCGCATTTGCCTCGTATGCCTGCCAAACCTCATCCGCTTTCTGTTGATCTTCTGCAGACTACATTGGCTACTGGCAAAGGTCTTCGCACGAGAGGACCAGATGGGTGGGATCGTCAGGATCTTCGAGCTCTCTCTCCTTGTCACTGGGCTGATATCGTGCAGTTGCTAACAATGATTGAAGGAGGTGCTGAATGGCCTCAGCAATTGACCTTTGGCATTGTCACCTCGTTGGCCAAGAAGACAGAGCCTATTGGACCAGTGGACTACAGGCCCATCACACTTTTTTCATTGTGGTACCGACTAGATTTCTCTCTGTTGGCACCTGATGGGGCCTTTGGATATCTCTGCCATCGAGGATGTCAGGATCTGACATATATCTTGCAGGCCACTCTGGAATCACAGCAGCTGACTGAGGATCATCATGTTGGGGTTCTCCTGGACATTAAACAGCGCTTCAATTGCATCCCTCGCATGCCGGTGAGGTTTTTGGCCAGGCTCTTTGGAGTGGCGACTCCCACAGTCACAGCCTGGAGCTCTTTTCTAGCATCGATGCGCAGATCATTTCGGGTTCGTGAAGCTCTGTCTGATCCTATTGGCAGTGATACTGGACTACCTGAAGGAGACAGCATGAGCTGCGTTGGAATGGTTTTGCTCAATTTTGTGTACCATGCATACATGAAATGTTTTGCCCCCACGATACGGGAGCTTTCATATGTCGACAACCTTCAGCTCATTTCACCTACGGTTGGTTCGCTTCTGCAGGGACGAATTGTTGCTGAAACGTGGGCGGACATGTTGCAGCTACACATTGATTCGGTCAAGAGCACCTATTGGGGTACTTCAGCTTCCATGCGTGCCTTGCTTCGTGCCAACGGATGTGCCGCTGTTGAATCCACAAAAGATCTGGGGGTACAGATGCAATATGGACCACGACATCGCAATGATCAACTTCAATTGCGAATTGGTTCCTCCTTGGTTCATTGGAAGCATCTTGCTGGCATGCGTCTACCACGAGCACTGAAGGCTCTAGCCATTCGTACCGCTTTGTTGCCTCGCACACTTCATGGCGTTGAGCAGACTTTTGTTGGCCTCCACTGGTACAAACAGCTGCGAACTCAGGCGCTTCGAAGCTTAGGAGTTGCTCGGGCTGGTGCAAATCCTGGTGTCAGGCTATCCCTTGTCGAGGATCCTCTTACTGACCCCATGTACTATGACATTCGACGCAGCGTGTTGTCATTTTGGAGGTACTTGGGCTCCTCGGCGGAGTTTCGTCTGGCGTGGACTACGCATGTTACACATTTTCATGGTAAGTACACCCATGGGCCATTTGGCAAATTCCTGCGAATATGTGAAACCCTGCAATGGTCAGTCACATCTGACTTTGAGCTTCGAGTTGCTAGTGGGCAGCGCTATGACTTGTTGTGGCTTCCTCGGCCTCACTTGCACACTTTGCTCTTGGAAGATTGGAGACAACATGTTGCTGCTGGGGTTTTTCATCGACATGATTTTGCTGGTATTTCTGGCTTGGACTATTGGCCTAGCTTTCAGGTTCTGCCACAGCTGACTGTGTCGCAAACAGAGCTCTTGGCCACTATCAGAGATGGAACATTCTTTTTGCACAGCTTCAAGGCTCGGTTCGATCCGGGTTTCTCGGAGGTCTGTCCTTTTTGTTCCTCTGCTTTGGGCTCCATGGAGCATCGAGCATGTGAATGTGAATATTTTCAACCGGTTCGAGATCGTCACTATGACTGTTGGACCAGCTGGCATGATGTTCCCATCGCTCTTTCCCACCATGGTTGGTGTCCTGCAAATGAATGGGTGCCACGCTTTCATGCTGAACTTGAACGTCTTGAGAACTTGGATATGCAATGGCATTGTGAACCTTCGGATTCTGGTGTTCAGCACCTATTTACCGATGGCTCTTGTCAACTGCCAGGACATCCAATTGGTCAGCTTTCGTCATGGGCTTTTGAGCTTGCCAACGTCACTAAGGTCGTGGCCTGTGGGCTCCTGCCTGGCAGATGGCAGGGCATAGCACGGGCAGAGCTTTTTGCGGTGTTGCAATCTTTGCTATGGGCTGCACACTATCTTGTTCCAGTTCATCTTTATTGCGATTCTGCCTTTGTGGTCAGGCGACTTCGTTTGCTTCTGGCGGGTCAGCAGCCTTGCTTGGACTGGGCGCACGTGGATCTTTGGGAGAGGGTTGCGCAATGCCTGTCTCAAGTGCCTTGGATTGGAGTGACTAAGGTGGCATCTCATCGATGCATTGAGCATGCAGCCACTCCTTTTGATGCTTGGTGCATCCACCATAACTCTGTGGCTGATGTTGCTGCTGGAATGGCTCGCTTGACCTGTGCGCCAGCGGCCTTGCGTCGCTGCTACGATGCCATGATGAAGGTTCATGAGTCGCACTGCATGCTTAGCAGGATGTTTCAGCTCTTTCTTCTGGACCTTGCAGAACATGGTCTTGCTACGTCTGAGAGTGCACAACTTGAGTCTTGTACAGAACACTTTTTGTATGGCGATTCATTTGTAAATCGCCATGACTTTGCAGAGGATCAGCCAATTGATGTTAGGACCCGGCTGAGTGCGAATTTGTTTTTTGTGCAGATTTGGCCTTCACATAGCTGAAGCTCTTCACGCTTGGCTAGTGACCCTTAGTTTGCAGGCGGATTTTCTCACGCCTGTCTCCTTCGTTGAGCTTTTTCTTGGATTTTCGGTTTGTACTAAGTGTGTTTTGCCGGTTCGGGTTGATGGTGCTTCTCAACGATGGTTGGACGTAGCAACTCTGGAGGCGGGAGATCTTTTTGGTCGAACTCTTGCGATTCAGGTTTCGACCTTCAGGTGTTTGTTTGATGCTGTTTTGGGTGCGGTTGGTTGTTCCTTCGAGAAACGACAGATCTCTCGGCCGACTAGCGGGATCGTGATGGCATTGCCGGGATGTATAGTGCCATGGCCGGCTGAGGTGGCAGACAAGGCACACTTGTCTTTGCTGGCTTTTTGTAAGCGATCCCCCATTCGTTTTTCACGTGACCTCGCGCGCTCATGGCCTTGATGTGGCATGAGGAGGTTCTTTCTCGCTGTGCAACATCGCTATGCTGTGTTCACAGTGGCGGCGACTGCAGACTCGTCCGCAAGAGCGTGATATATTCTTTACAAGTCCTCTCAGTTGATCCCATCACCCAAACATCTTCCGTTCCAAGATCCACCGCCAGTGAGCTGCGCCTGCTTCCCCGAAGCCGGCGCCTGCTGAGTCACAGGTCCCGCACGACCGGTCTGACGAGCCGAGGGGCCGAGGCGGGGGGAACTGCCCGACGACCGGTGAAGAGGTCCCCAAAACTCCTTCAACCGGTTTGGTCAAGGAAGGAAGGATGACCGGAATAGGCCGCCATGGCCTCTCTTCAGATCAAACAAGGGAAAGATATCTGTGGTGAAAGCCAGACGAGACATGGTCGCATCGTTGTGTTGAGTCTCGTTTTGTTTGGTCTGTGCAGACCTCAAAGTCTTCCGGATACACTTCATGAGAATGCATCTCATGGTTGAAATATCGGAAATAGGTCGTATGAATTTCCATTGAACCTTCAATCCAGTAAGCTCGTCCCCCTCCACCTGTCGGCGCCTGAGCTGGTGGATCTTCTTGACGCAATGGCTCCACGCTGCAGGTGTTCCAGGTGTTCACAGCATTCACGGGTCTTTGGATGGCCGGGGGCCATGCAACTCCTGCAGAGGTGCTTCGAACCCGGATGCGTCGCGAGAAGCAGCAGTTGGAGCCTATCAATATCCCGGATGCGGATGGTCAGGGGCCATGCAACTCCTGCGGATGCGGATGCCTGTCAAACACAAGCCCAATTTGTGGACGGTTCCTGGATGGTTGTAGATCATTTCAGACTTTGTCGGGTGAATTTTTTGTGTTTGTTTCGTTTCAAAATCCTGCACCGAAAGCGGTGAGGACGGCGAGTGTGCCCGGCGAGCACCGCCCTTGGAGTGTAGGACATCCTGGATCGACTGCACGGCTAGCGGCCGGCAGAACTGATCAGCACCGTTAACGTCAAGGCCCAATGAACGTCGATGGTCGAAACGACTCTTTTTGACATATAATCCCCAACCAGTTACGACCACGGCCAGGCACGGCCCTGCATGTTTTGCCGCGCCCTTCTAGTGCCTCTAGCGCTGACACGTCAAGATTCAGGCGGACCCTTGAGTCTGCCCACATCCTGCCTGACATGGATCCTTTCCCGCTGATTCAAATTATGGTTCAAACATACACCTGCCTGCATGGAGGGCCGAAACCTGAGTCACGACTTCAGCACGCCTCCAAGGCCTTCAACTGCCCTTGGAGCGAAGCTCTTGTGCCTTGGAGTGTGGTGAGAGCCATACTCAGACTACCAAGCCAGCTCAACGCCAAAAACCAAGTTCTATGTTCATGTCCATGTTTCCTCCCAAAAAGGATCAAGAGGGAACCGATGCAACAATGAAACATGTGACTGTGAAAAGATTGATGAGCTGATGTTTGGAGCCCCCAAGCTGGCCTCCTCCATGGAGCCTTTCGCCTCCAAGAGGTTCGCGAGACGCGAGATCGAGTCCAGGGTCTGCTGATGTCTGACTCCCAGCTGGGCCACTTGCCCCTCCATCGCCCGGCGGAAGTGCGACTCGGCGTCCTCCAGCCGCCCTTGCGCTACGCGGAGACGGGCCAAGTGGTAGACCGAGCGGAGTGTGCCGGGATGTTGGCTGCCCAGCTGGGCTTCAAGACCTTCCACCGCTCGGCGCAAGAGCACCTCCGACTCGTCCACCTTCCCTCCATCCAGCAAGAGCGCCCCCAAGTTGTTCACAGAGATGAGGGTATCAGGATGCCGGGCTCCAAGTTGAGCCTCCATCCCTTCCAGCACTTTGCGATAAAGTGGTTCAGCCTCCTGGTACTTGCCCCGATCCTCCAGCAGATTCGCTAAATTGTTGAGCGACGTGAGGGTCACAGGGTGCCTGGCTCCAAATTGAGCCTCATATCCTTCTAGCGCTCTGCAATACAGTGCTTCAGCCTCCTCATACTTGCCTTGCTGCCATAGGACGACCGCGAGGTTGTTCAGCGCCGTCAGGGTGTTCCGGTGCTTCCCTCCCAGCTTCGCCTCTTCGGCCTCCAAGACTCGGCGACGCAGCGCCTCGGCCTCCGCGAGGTCGCCACGGTGTCGGAGCACCTCCGCCAGCCTCGGCCCAAAAGCCGTTTTTGTTATAGGGTGAAGTGGAAATTAGACTTACCTCTACTGCTGTTAGCCACGGCAAAATAGAAGAAGAGAGAGGCAAAGTTTCGCAAAGGCTCGATATGATAGAGCCACTGATATCCACTGTTACTGGTCATGCGAGTGACTTGGATTCGATGCTCTCCTACAAAGGTCCAATCTTTTTCCCGTTCGGTTTGGGCACCAATGCAAGACTGCTGAGCCAGGTGTAATTTGTCACCAGCGTGGTGTCCCTGTGAGCTGTGGGAGTTTATAGGGGTTCCTGCCTGCATTCAGTTTCCTCTCCCGTCCTCTACCTGGACTCACTCACCTGGTGGGGCCCTTTTTTGCTGCATTTCTATTTTCTCCTATCTGGACTCACACACCTGGTCAGCCAGCTCACCTCAGAGTGGGGGACCTTGTTTGTTGCATTTGCAAATGTCGTTCCGTCTCCCCTCTCCTGTTCTCTACCAAAACTCGACAATCTAAATACTCTCCTGAGCACTTCGTGATGCTAATGATGCATTTTCCAGCGTCATTTGCATCACTCGCATCACCAAGCCTGTGGCCAATTTCCTTTTTCCTTAAGAGAGAACCCCAACAGTAATATACCAGCATAGACCCCAAACAGTTTCAAAACGATTCGTTTGGACCAATGTTAGTCAAAAACGATTTCTTGGTACGCCCTACCTTCCCCCAAGATCAAACTGCTTCATCAATGATTTTTCGGCATCGACATCGCTATTTGTTCGGCCACACTCCTCTCCAGCTGTTGACCCTATTCATGAAAAATTGACAATGTCCAATGTGTCTCACGGGCACACTATCGGGCGACCCATCTATCAACAGTATGAGACGGGCCCCTACGCGAACCCGCTTCCTTCGTGGGCGTCCGATTGGACCTCACTCAGCATTCGAAACACGCGGCCACAGAGTTCAGGGGTGCGGCCAGTCAGTGTGGCCAGGGCTGGTCAGCGCGGCCAGCGGACAACAGCAGAACAAGAGAAGGACAAGAGGAGGACAAGAGAAGACAAGAGGAGGACAAGACCCGGCCACAGACCCGGCCACAGAGCTCAGCCACAGAGTTCAGGGGCGGGGCCAGTGAGTGTGGCCAGCTAATTCTTTTTCTAAGATAGAACCCCAGCAGTAAACTGTTTGGGGCAAAAAAAAAAAAGTTTGTGTCATAGCAGGCCCACGTCTCTGGAAAAATGTGCTTGCAGAATGAATGTGAAAAATCCGTCGGCCTGAAGTTCGTGTATGGCGAGACGGGAGACGAGACGGAGACCGAGGCCAAAGACGAAACCACAGGGACAGGGCAAAAGCCCTGTAGGGAAAGGACAAAAGGACGGGGAAAAAGGACCACAGTGTGCAACAAACAACTATATCTGAAACTTCCTTGTTCCTTTTCTTGTCTTGCTTTGTTTTCTTGAAGTTTAAAGAAAAAGGGACAAATTTTGACAAGATGTAAATTCTAAATGTGGTGCTTCTTTAATTGGCAAAAGGATGTTCAAAGACCGTCCAGAGAGACATGCACCCACAACTCCCATGAGACACCTAAGTCTTAAGCACAGACAGAGATACGCTCAAGTAGCCTCGACTGTGCTCGATTTGCTGATGGGATGAAAGTTGTGCACACTGTCATTTTGCACAATGGTTTTCTGGATCATAAGTCGCTGTATAGTCGGTAGTACAACTGGCTTCTTACAATGTGTCATGTCTACTTTCGATATATGCATGTATGAGTATGAGTGTATCATGCGAAAAGGCCTGAGCTGCACACCGGCTCAATGCCTGGAGGGTATATTCATCCGTAGTGCCACGTCTGGTGACTGCGGCTTCAGCATGGCAGCGAAGCCTCGACACACAGCTTCCATCAGCAGCTCGGGATGCACAAATTCACTGAAGGTAGCGCTAAGTACTAGATCGGCCTTCTATCGCTGCCTGTCCAAAATATGGTGTCCAAAGTGGCAGTGTTGACTAATGATTGTTTCTAACAGGGTTTCTTCACGAATGGAACTGCTTGGCATCCAAGACTTGCCATGTATCGAGATATTGCGAGATCTGAGATTTATCCCACGACTCAAACAGCCGAGGGAGTGGGACTTGTTCGGTGGATATGCCACTCAAGAAGAAGCTGTCAGCAGGTTATCTTTGTTCCAAGACTGTTCTGACGAGAATTGACAGTGATGCTACGTAGACTACTCGACTAGACTACAAAGGCCTTTCCATCCCTGCTGTTCTCCCAAGTTCAGCAACCAAGCTTGTGACATAGGTTCCGTGCAACACAAGATGTGAAGAGGGAACAGGGTTGTGTCAGAAGTGGGGTAATATCAAACACAGGTTAGGCATATTGAGGATGAGGAAAGTGAGCTACGAAAGGCCAAGAACCACTCACCACATGAGTACACACACAAAGGCATGTCCCCCATACATGCCAACGAAAATGCAAACAGAATAGAACCTCAAAATGGAACGCGCGGGCGTTGCATTAGAGTCACACCTTTGCAGCCCAGAAGGCAAAATGTGTGGCTTCAGAATGAAGCCCAAGTTGCGTTTGGAGTCCAATGAACGTCCTTGCATTGCTCCGTTGAGTTGCAGCTGATTGTGCCTTTGCCTCTCCTTCTACAACAACTTGTTTGAGTTCCGCTGAGGGCTTTAGTTCAGGATGCGCGTGCGAAACAAGCAGTGCGACGTGTCGTGTTGAGAGAGTGCTGCAAACGTTGTCAAACCAGGAACGTGTCCTGATAGTTTTGGGTTCCTAATAGCCAACAAGCAACGTCTCCACCAGCACTGCTCTGGCATTACCAATATCGCCCTCCCCTTGCGCTCGCACAACGATACATTCCCGCGGTGGCTTTCCGGCTTCATTCAGGAGCTTTCCAGCGAGGTTCCTTGGCCAAGGCATGAATGAGTCAGCCAAATGTTCGAAGTTTGAAGTAAACTGAACTGCAATAAACTTGGTCTCCGGCACACCAGCAGGCTTCCCCTGTCCAGAATCCACCAGTAACAGAACAAATTGGCCAAATCAGGGAGATCCGCAAAGCCTTTCGACCAACCCAGCCTGCTCCACCATTTCCGGTGTAGGTCGTTCGGAGACGTCGTAGGCTACAGATGCATTGACAAGGATTGGAATGCAATACTCCACCCTCGAACGGTAGTCCTTCAGGAAGACATTTGAAAGCATGTGTCCCTAACGAGCTATGCCATGGCATTTTGGAACATTGCTATTTGGAAAAAGTCACGAGACCTACAGCAGTAGCGGCTCAAGGAGCTCTCCTGGATTGCCGCATCACGACCTTTCAGATCGATATCCTTGGATTTGCATAACGAACCGGGAAACTTGAAAGAATATTCCCGAGAGAGTGATTCGTCCATTGGCAAAATCAAAATCACCCTAAGCAAATCCAGGTATCTCGCTTGAGCATATTGCGATAGTTGTTGTCCAGCAGCGTCTCCACGCTTGGCCATTCATCAGGTGCCTTCCGTACACTGTATACGCCTGCCAAGAGTTCGCTCGAATGTCTGGCATGGCAAATGGTTGCTGGAACTAAGTCAGGATAAACCGAGCAAAAGAAAGTCGCTGGGTTGGGGCCATCTCAGAGTCCCCACAAAAACCCACCTCACGACCTCGGTGTGCGCACGCCTTCCGAGTGAACTCACCCTGGCACCCTCCAATCTGGGGTTCTAAAATTGACACGTTCAACCCACTGAGGCTCACAATTCGGCTTACCACGGAGCCCGCCGCCCGCCTTTTCCCCACCACGCATTGGCCTTTTCACCACTTGTGATGAGAGAGGCCTGTAAATGCCCAGAGTGTAACTGGCTAGATGGTAGGCATCGAGTTCGAGGCATTGTCACTCAACAATTCTGAGGGCAGCGCGAACACTTCCACGGCAGCTTTGCTTTCATGCGTGATGTTCCGAAACCCGAGCTGTGTTGTACAGTGAAAGTAGCATTCCACATCACCATCTCCCCCAGCTTGGGTCAGATCAAGAGCATCTGCCCATACCTGCACGAAGCTTTGGCAAGTGCTAGACATGCTCCACGGTGAAATCTCGACATGGTGGAAACATGGATGGAAAGCTCGACAGCAGCGACAGCAGCGACAGCAGCGACAGCGCCTTGATCTTGAGGCCTTTGTGGACCCAACACCAATCAGCTACATCAAAGTCATATTCTTGGTGATCAAAAGCCCCACCATTCTTGTAGTCCTTCTGGAAGTAATTTCGGAGCTGGGCCTGGCACAAGGAATGTGTGCTTGGTGCGCGAAAAGAACTGATAACAACTGATCTATCCAGCTGGTATCCACTTACTAGACTAGAAGTTGGTCAAACCACAGGGAGCAGTGCAGCAGAGTTGATTCTGGTTGAAGGCTCCCCATTCACCTCTGCAAAGAGGGAGCATCCGTTTGCCAACATCAAAGCATGTGAAACCATAAGTAAAAAGCATATGAGCAACAAATAAGTGCCCCACACATAAGTCCATTTGGGAGGTGCTCTTCAAAAACCGAGGTGCCTCTACCATCTCTTCCCTCAAGATGCTCCCAGCTTGCGGCGCCTCTCGAAACAAGTGGGCACGACTTCTTCGGGATTGATGTGGAACAGACGAAAACAACGTCGAGCACCGAACACACTGGCGCTCAATTGGGGCAGGCGCTCAAGCGGCTCCAGTGGCTCGCGCCTCCGACATCGCTGAAAGTACCCACCGGACATCGCCCTGAACCGGCACCCTGCTGTCGGCTTCCTGAACCGGCTGGTTTCGATGCTTCTCAACATAGAAACCGAGTGACATGAGCGATCCCCGCATATCCTAGTTGGAGGCTACTTTTCAATTCCACCTTTGAAGTCTGTATCATGTGATGAGCTTAAACCCGTCGTCCCGACGATTTCTGAAGAGTTTCGGGTCAGGTGGCCTAATGGTGAGCTATGATCCATGCAACTTCCCAGGGATCAGAAATGCTCTGAGACGGTGGGCGTTGGCCTTCGTGGTGTGGGGAAGAATTGACCATTGTTTGATCCATGAAGAGAACTCATTGAATAGCAAGAAACTTCAGGAGAGTTCCCTCAAGTCCATCACCAAGTAAGGCCAAGAAAGCAGCATGTTTACCCATCATCTCTCATGAACTACAGTAGAATGACCCTGTGTGACTATACAGCTGTCTTATACAGTATCGAATTGGAATGCCAGGACTTCGTCCCAAACTTGCAATCACCCTGATCCAATCAAACCTCTAGCGCTCATCCTCTTATTTTGGCCTCCTTTAGTCTTACTTCCACTTTTAGTAACAAGGAACACCAGGGGTGAAAATGAACGAAATAAGTTCACACTCGGAAAGAACGACCGACTCATTGACCATCCCACCGCCTTGGCGACATACTTCTGCCTTGACCCTCCGCACCCCATGGCGAGCCTGGATCGGTGGTCAGGTGGTGGCAAGGCACCGGTAAATCGGGGCAAAATCATGGGATCTGAGGAATCACCTGATTTGTAAACACAACGATGGCCCATCGATAAAAACTACATGAAAAGGAAACACTGAAATTCAGAATTCGGAGCTCCAACATGTTCCAACTAATTTGGACCTGTGAATGTCTGACTGGCTGTGTGCGATGTATTGGCTCCGACTAGGGATTACATTGATGATTACATGATGTCAAATCTGCAAAAGCTGTGCCGGCATCCCTGTGCTTCTCCTTGGAACCACAACTTCACCGTTCTACTTCCAATGGGTGTACCGCGCAGTCTGCACGCAAGTCTCCTGCTTTTGTCGATCCCCTCAGTCCTTTTTCGACCCCATCACCGTCTCCCCGCCTCAGAAAGGTCTCGCTACGCTCAGCACTGGTACCACCAAATCTTCCCCAGCGCTTTTGGTCGGATGGATCGACTCAAAAGGTGAGACTACGACTGAGTCGAGGGAGGTGTTTTTCCACGTTGAGTCGGTGGGTAAGGCAAACAGGTTGTGCTTCAATGAAGTGCAAAAACCTGCTTTCTACAAGCTCGCCTTTCCATATGATGGGCTCAACAGCCTTCCCCCAAAGAGCTTTGACTGCCCCCCTTTGGGACCGAGGCTTCTTCATCCTGCCCTAGTGACTCTAATGTTTCAATGTTGAAAACTGCTCATAAATTCTACACTTGACGAGTGCCGGATGAAAGATTGCCATTGGTGCCACCGTTTTGCGCGGACCAAGCTATCTGTTCGCTTCCCTCTTGAAATGGAAGGCTGATGAACAAGAAGTATGGGATGCTGTTGAACTGTTGGATTCCGCTCTCAGATCAACAACTGGTCTCTTGGAGGAACAGCTTACCTGCTCTTGCTTCAAACCTGAAACATCGCCTGTGGCATTCGACCAATCTGTGCAAATCTATGTTGGTCAATGAGGTGTGTGACCATGTTTTCAAAACCTTCAACTGTGTCCGGAAAACTGAACACCTTCACCAATTCCTCTCTTCCAACAGAAACGTCGACCAAAAGGAATCGCCTGGCACATTGTGCGGAATTCGATACCGGTTCTCACCCTCTCGGGGTCCCATCGGTGAGTGAAAGTGGTTGACTGGGCATCTTCAGCTGTTGCAACTTGGCTTGGGCCTTGCTGTTTTGCTACACGGCGCGGCGGTGCTGCATCGATCTCGCGTCACTCAACAGGCAACAGGATGGAGAGTGGGTAGGTAAGACATCCTTTTCCGTTTGTGTTTTTTTCACATTTGCGCGGTGAGGTTTCGCATCACAAAGTAGCAAAGAGGCAAGAGAGGCAGCTGGAGGTACAAAACAGGAGGCGAGACCAAAAAGTGAAACAAAGCAGCCCAGCTTAAGATAAGTTTCATGTATTTCAAGGTTTGAGCCTTTTGAGCTGCCAACCCCATCCAGATTCTTGCACCTCTCACCGTGAAAGTTTGACACACAAGCTCTCGAGGAAAAATCGAAAGCTCTCGTGCTCAAAACACCTAGTCAGTCAAATGTCTCAACGACCCGAATCGAAAAACGAAGAAAAAGCAAGCACCTTCTACATAGGACTGAATGATCATGTATGCACGTGCATGCGACGCAAACGTGCTCTGCAGTAAAAACCAGCAATCATTAATCGACTTGCACGAACTTGCTGTGCGGGTTTCAAACTGCTCATGAAGATCTCACTGCCCCACTGAATGGACTGTCTTATCTCATAGCTGAAAGTGTCGGATCCTAACGCTGACCATGCTTTCAAAGACCCTATGTACTGGGAAAACTGCAAGATCTCTTCCTGACGACTTTTCCAAGCTGAGAAATCTGGTTGTGGCATAGCCGGAAGCCATTTATCCGACTTGCTAAACATGTCGCGCTCCTTGTCCTCACTTCGACTCTCTGCCGGGGCACCTTCCAAGCTTCGCTCCACCCTCGTAGTCGACTCAATGTACTTCGGAGCGGTGGGGTTGGCAAATGCTTTGGAAACATAGGTTGTGGACTCATGGCGCTTCTTTCCCCAAATGAACCTGACGAGATACTTGGCGACTTGGCCTGAATCAGTGCACTTCCACCTTTTCCACCTCCCAAATCCTGACTCAACAGCCTCGCCTCCAACGGAACCTGTCGCATCAGCCATATCTCAGACACACAATCACAGACCAGACAAACGACTTCCTGACACGTCTCGTGTTGCCTTTGCTTTCCTTGTCACCAAACGTTGATCTGGACCTTGCATTTTTTTTGCGCGAGTCGAGGCGCTGTGTGTGCAGGTTGTGCACAAGTCACCTTAAGCTAGTAAAGGAGAGAGATACGAACCAAGCAACAAACCGAGAAGGACCAAACAACACCCAAAAACCCAAAACAAACCCAACCAGAAAAGCAGGCAAGGTTCGTACCTCAAGAAGGCTGAGACAGCCGAAGAAGCGGTGAGACAGAGTGAAACTAGGGGCAATGAATTCAGCCTTGGCACTCAGTACATGACCTTCCTGTCCTTTCATGTGTTCTTTTTTATGTTTCCTCCGCAGGGAGAAAGTAAGACTTGCACCCAGAGCTCGAATTCATGTGGGTGTTGATGCAAAAACAGGCAGGTTACGTGGCCGTATACCCTGTTCTCAAAGGGTTTGGCGAAGCCTTCACAGAATGCAGGTGCGAATGCGGCCAGCATGACGGCCAGTCAAACGACAGCGAGTTGCGCACCATTCACAACCTTCCAGCAGTACGAACACATCGCATGTAAGGGGAGCAATCTCGGCTCAGGGAAAACAACTGTGTCACCAATCGAGGACTGCAAATCTTCGAGAGCTTGAAACAGTGGAGCCATACCGACATTGTACCTGCGTGAGATCCGAGCAGAAGTCTTCATTGGCTGTAAAGCCCTGGTGAACATCACGCTACCGGGCAGCATTCGATGCATATAGGGTATAGAGCTTTTGGCAACTGTGCCGAGCTTTCTCACCTGGGTTACGCTAGGAATAAATCAGAGGCATGGCGATATCCTTATGCCGCCTTCAATGCCTTCGAGGAATGTGGCAAGCTAGCCGCCCCAAAGTGGCTCCACTACATCCCGCCGAGAGAGAGCGACTGGATTGCCCCCTGCACTTGACCTCCACAATTTTAACAACCTAAACATCTATCCAAAACAACGACCATCTAGGGTGTGAACAGCCAGGGGGGGGTAGGACGGCTGCCCAAGTAGCTGTCCCCCAGCATTACCAGGCTCAAATCGCAAGTAGGAGCTTTGCAGGTTGCCGCAATGGTTGGCGATACCTGGTCGCAAACGAGCTCACTGGTCAGCAATGAACGCCAGCTAGTGTTGCAACTTCTGCTGACAACCCTTTCTGGAGAAGAACTACAAGTCATCATCGATCTCCAAGAGTTTGATCGTCTAGACGAGTTTGAAACGGCTGTCCTTGAGCAGCTCCCGACCATTGGAGGACACAGCACCTTTGGGAGCGAGCTTGCTTTTGTCCATAAAGACACTGGACAAATTCTGGCGAACCCCATCTGGGACACTCTCAGAGACTGTAACCGCTTCCACCTCGTGGTCCGACAATGTTTCAGTCAAGCTGAACACAAAGGGCAACTGAAGAGGAGTGCAAAAGCAATTCGAGTACCGCCCACTCGTACGGGGCGTGCGCTACCCCATGCTTTCTCGCATACGATCGATGTGAGGCATGTGCAAGTAGAAGCAGGAATACATACCATTGGCGAAGCGGCCTGGCAGCACTGTAACAGGCTGCTAATTGTCCAACTGCCCAGTACCGTAGTCTGCCTGCAAGATGGAGCCTTCCGCCGAAACTATGTACTCCACACCGTCATTGCCCCAGGGTGCAAATACTTTGGGCTCTGGGTATTCGAAGAATGCTACGCTTTAGCACTGATTGGCGATCAAAGCATGACAGTCAATCAGCTAGCGCCACAGGCGCGATTTCGACCCCGAGCCCTCGAAAAATGCAGCACCTTGCAGCAGCTCAATTTTGAAAGAACGGAATACGATCCCACCGATTTGTATCGTTCCATACCCGAGGGCTGCTTTTTCGAGGCAGGGATAGAGTCGTTATTTTTGCCAGCAGATTTCAGCTGGATGGGTCCAGCTGCATGTGAGCATTGCAAAAGGTTGCGGGTAGTTGACATCTCACAAACCGAAATTAGTGAGATTCTGGGTGGCACCTTCGCACATTGCACGCAGCTGCAGCAGCTCCGACTGGCCAAAGCAGTGGGGCGCATTGGGCGAGACGCCCTCCTGAATTGCACTTCCTTGGGTGAGCTGCATACCCCACCCACTTTGCTCTACATCGACAAACGAGCATTTGCTGGCTGTACACAGCTGTACAGGCTCGTCAGATTGGGACGAAAAACGACTTGGAGAGGTACTTACGCAGAGCACGATGCATTCGAGTTGTGCACGCAACTTGCACTCCCAAAATGGATCCGGCTCCTCCCCAAGCCAACCGACGGCCAAGAAGAGTGGGCTGACTTCATGAGAAGCTGTGCAGAAGCGAACTGCGGAGAAGCTTGACCGCTCAGAGTTGCGTCCGTATGCAGGTTCTGAGTAAACTTATACCTACCAACTGACATGCTGACACTGCTGTCTATACTGAGTAGATAGACAGTCATAGAAAGGCAATGAAAGACAGTGAAAGACACTGAGAGTCAAGTATGTCGAAAGGCTCTCGAGGAGCCATGTAGGACTGTTGAGAGGCGCACAGGCATGTGCTGCGGTCTATCAGGCGCCTTGCGATTGCGCTGCCGTGTTCCATCTTGAGAATGCATGAACGCGCAAGCCCCGTGAACTAAGTGAAACAGGGTGTAGGTCTATTCACTGTACAAGTCTGCGCTATCTGTACTCATCCAGGACCACCACTCGGGTGGTGGCCTGGGCACTGCCTAGCCGCTCCGTATTGCAGTACACCCACGAAAAAGCTGGCTCATGTTGCTGTCAGGACCAGCACACGGGTGCAAG